GGAAAACTGACTTTTAGTTGGCCGTGGTTGTCGTTAGCTGCAAAAAAAAAAAAACATGTAAACCACACCCAATAATTCCGCTGACAGAGAAATCAACAGAAGAAAGGGCGGCTGGAAACATAGCTCCCTCTGACGCTTGGGTCAGGGAAGAAAAAAATACTGCAGGAGAAATGACCGGCTAGAACACAGCTCCCCCTGACGTTTTAGTAGGGAAGAAAAAAATATTGCAGGAGAAATGACCGGCTGAATTTTGCTGGCATTGTCCGATCGACAGTAACGATATCTCCGGCGAGATGACGATGAGGCGGGTGGCGGCATCGCTGGTGGAGCCCTTGCTCACGACCCTCTTCTCGATTTATTTGGCTCATGCAGACGTCGCACGCAATGAACGCAACATGTTCTGTCTCGACTGTGTGGACGCCGACTCTAGTGCATTATGCCTTTATTGTTGCTCTGAGCGACATGTTGGGCATCACGTTATTTAGATACGACGGTTGTCTTACCACGATGTGGTTTGTGTGGCGGAAATCCGAAAGGTTCTTGAGATCGGGGGAGTTCAGACGTATGTAATCAACAGCGCTAGAGTGCGCTTCCTCAACGAGCGACCCCAACCACGTCCTAGCGATAAGGATGCATCCCCGCACACGTGTGAGATCTGTGCTCGATCCCTTCCAGTTTTTCTCACTGGGTTGCAAGTTAGTGGGAATTAAGCATAATGGGGACGCGACCTTCGTGTTGTTGGGGGGATGAGGAAGTGTTCGCTTGGCAGAGAATGAGAAACAATAGTTGTTTTAAACACCAAGATGAGTGCCCCTCCCTTCCCGCATAGAGGATGGCAAGAAGGGAGTCCGACAATTCTCAAAGGAAGGTCGGTGGCTAGAGTACGAAATCTTGCTCTGATACCATGTTGAAATTTTGAATAATGCGAAATAAAGTGAAATACTTCGTATTGTTTCATTGATATGAACGGGAGAATAAATAACCCTTATAAGAATTCTGTAATAGGAAAAAAAATAAAAAAAAAACAATATGAAAGGAAAGATATATCATCTGATATTTCCAATAATTAATTCATATTAATTATTAGAAGATATAAGAAATAACATAAAATAGGGAAACAAATAATTCTAATCCAAGGAAATAAATATAAAATAGGAAAGAAAATATCCACTTATATTAAGAAAATAATTTATTCCTCATAACTTCTTATAGGAATAAATTATTTTCTATTATAATTCTTAACACTAGATGTCTGTTCATTTTTATTTTTTCAGTTTTCCTGCCTAAGATTGAGAATGTAAGAGATCTTTAGTCTAGTTATTAGGATCATGATCTTGTTTTTTTTTAAGCAAAAATAAAAAATCATAAGAAAGATTGCATTTTTCACTAACCAGGGTGAATTTTGAAAAAAAGAAATAAAAAATATATCCGAACCGATTACCGGCGCCTAAGCCAATTATGATGCTAGAGGCCAGATATCTACTCTTGAAATTTCTTTCTTAATGCACTTTAATTTTTATGAATGTATTATTTTTCTTATGAAAACTTGAGTTAGTGAAGTAAAATTAAAATATAGTTATTGTATATATAGAATAGTTCTTGCTTTATGTGTAACAATTCAACTCTGAGTATTGATTGTAAAAGTTTCTTTTTTTTTTTTTGGATTCTTTCCTGTGCAGTTGCTATAGAGAAGCAATAGTTGTGGCTGGTGGTTCTATAAACCTGCTGTTTCCTTCCAATGGTAAATTGCTGTCAACTTTTGCTCTTCATTCTTCTTCATTGTTGTTTGAGTAAAGTTCCAAAACATTTCTTTGACTATAGACATGATGTGATTTTAGCTTCAGAGTCTATAAAAACGTCAAATTAGTCCCTAGACTTTGTTTTAATATGCTGGGGACTATTTTAGCCTTCATTAAAATGTTTGGCGATTAAATTGACATTTTTGTAAAATTTGAGACTAAATTGTCCTCCTATAGAGAGTTCGGAGACCATTTTAACACTTTTCTCCCTTGTTGTTTTGAATGAAGATTAGACCTAGATAATCAGCTCTGTGTTTGGAGGTTGAGATGCAAAAGGCATGTCAGTAATGGCGTGCCAGGAATATGAATTAGTTTTGTTGCGCTCTTCTAGATTCGATGAACATATTACTGCACACCATTTCATTTAAGCACAAAAATTTAAATGAAATTTCTAAGAAGAATTCTTATTTGCATCACAACAGGCGGCGACGCCGTTAGTTGCAGGCATTGCAGTTGCAGCAGCAGCAGTGGGAACTAGAAGTTTGATTCAAGCATGGCGAGCTTTCAAAGCCCGCCCTATTGTACCTCGAGCAAGAAGATTCTATCCCGGAGGATTTCAGCCTGAAATGACCAGGAGAGAAGCTGCATTGATTCTTGGTGTAAGGTATTTATAGTATTTTGGCAAATTTACATACATACCAAAACAATTCTTTTGTATTTGCTTAATCTAACACCCAAAGTTTGATCTTTGCACTTAATGACATCTTGGTATCATAAACATTTAACTTTTAAAAAAATAATGATGGTGGTATACTCAAAGTGATGTTAAAGATTTGAGCGATACGCATGTAAATATGAATGCTTTAGTGTTACAGGATCACATGCTATGTAAGTTAGGTGTTGTTGATGATTCAAATATTTCATACGATATACGATATAAATGACTAGATTAATGGTACGATGGGATGAGCTTTGTTAACAATGATCTGCGAATTGACATGAATCTTGATGCAAATTTTACGAAACGAGGTGGAATTGATGATTTGATATCATAAGTTTTGGCGGCATCAATTCTTATGTATTTACATATCTAAAACCCAAAGTTTGATATTTACACCAATAACATCTTGATGTCGTAAAAAGTTCACTTTTAAAAAGATAACCATTATGCTATTTTCAATGTCATGTTAGAGATTTGAGTGATATGCATGAAAATATGAATGTTTTGGTCTTACAGTATTGTGTGTTATGTATGTTAGGTGTTGTTGATGATTAGAATATTTCATTGGATATATGATTAAAATGATGGAGATTCATGGGGAACGTGACGAGCCTTATTAAGAATGATAGATGAATTGGCACGAATCTTGATGCACAATTTAAGAAACGAAGGTTTTAGATGAGATGGAATTGATGATTTGTTGCCATATAGTTTGGTGTCATCAATTCTAATGTATTTAGGTATATAAGACCCAAGTTTGATATTTACACTTATAAAATCTTGGTGTTGTATACATTTCACTTTTAAAAAGATAATGATGGTGCTATTTGTGATGTGATGTAAAAAATTTGAGTTATATGCAATGTAAATATGATTGTTTTGCTGTTACAGAATTGTGTGCTATGTATGTAGGCGTTGTTGATGATACAAATATTTCATAAGATATACGATAAAAATGATGAGATTCATGGTGATGGGATGAGCTTTGATAAGAATGCTCGATGAGTTGACATGAATTTGTCACGCCAGTTTGTGAACCGGTCTAGGAGGGATCGGTTGAGGGTCATCCAACCGGCCCACCACAACAGCAGACGGGCTGATCGTTTCCGTGAGAAGGGGTGGGGCGGGGCGGCAAGTTGATGCGGTAGAAGAAAGTAGGGAGCAGGTCCATGAGGGTCTTAATCACATACTCAAGGAGGAGAAATTAAAAAGGTCACGTCTAGGGTTGTGGGAAAGACGATCTACCTCTCGAAAAGTAGACTATCATTGTATATTGCTTATTTTCATTAGTTTTTCGTAAGAGCAGCTATCTTTAGAGTTTTTTCCACCTATCTATCTGTCGTTCTTTCCTTTTTGATTTTGGTTTGGAAGCGTATCAGAATTTTGATGCAAATTTTACGATAGCATGGAATTGATGATTAATGTCATTAAGTTTGCATTTTTGGTAATATCATTAAATAGAAAAGAATCTTAATTAGCTATTTACTGTGAATGAATGTTGTTGTTGCAGGGAACATGCTGCAATTGAGAAGATTAGGGAAGCTCATAGGAAGGTGATGGTTGCTAATCACCCAGATGCTGGTGGAAGCCATTACCTTGCTTCAAAAATCAACCAGGCCAAGGATCTCTTGACTGGCAACACCAAACCCTCCTCTTCAGCATTCTGAAGGCCACATTATATTTATATATATTGTCAAATAAGTAAATATTTAAAAAATTAAAGAGTTTAATGTATAAACAGATTTAAAATTTGTGGTATGAATGTGGATGGTCTCCCTTTATATTTGCAAATCTAAAATTTAATTTTTGTGTTTATGTAATATATCAGTGCTTGAATCATAGGAATATATATATATA